AGAACTTATGTATCAATTCAAAATACTTATATACATATATGAACATAAAATTGTACAGAGTTTTGAATCAAATTAATTTAAAAATCTAATTAAGGAGTAACATCAACCAGACCGGGAAAAAATATGGAAAAGAAATTAAGTTAGGAGCATTCATAGAATTAAGTTTAACTCATGAATATGAATATAAATGATTGTTATGTAAGCAGATAATAAAGGAAATACATTTTGGCAAAAAAATATGTTTTCGTAGGGGAGATGAAATTAAAATGGATTCAATTCCAAAATAAGTTATTTATAAATCTTTCCAAGAAGGCAAGACTTTTTCTTATTACGCAATTAGGGATGGCAACTTTTTTTTAATCGATTAAATCAAATGATTAATTGCAAGATATAAAAAAATAATTGCAATTAATGTAAAAAATCGATTAATCGATTAATTACAATGTTTTAAAATAATACTAAATTGCATAAAGACCACCACCAAGTTTCAGCGCCGAATCTTGTATTATAATGCTCTATCACAGAGTTCCAGACATATCCTAAAAGAGAAAATGGCCTATATTTCAAGTTAAGTAGCACAATGACATTAAATTTTTCAAAATATGTACAGCAATCTTAAAGTAAAAGAATTGCCTCTTGCTTGAAAGACGATGTTTTGCAGCTTTGCGTAAAAATAAAACCAATAAAATATAGGAGACTCTATTCTTATTTCAGACATTCAAATTATGTTGGTGTATACACAAAACAAAAACGGAAATAAAATTAAAATATCGTATTAAAACTTCATTTAGCATAAATGAAAATATATTCATTGAGGTCAAGAAAATTTATTCTCTGTTCAACCAAGTTTGAAGAAAAGGCGATTTCGATAAACATTTTGTTGTCAAACGATTGCGTTTTTCGGTGGCAGTTGCACTCGCTTTTGAGAAAAGCCGCTCAGTTGGTTATGAGGTACCAAGTAGATGACAATACTTTTTTGAAAGTCCGTACAGTCTTGGGAAAACGGTTTTCATTTCTTCCCAAGCATCAATAGTGTTTCGGCTTAATTCTAATACCTGACAATTCAAATAAAAGCTCAATTCATCTTCTGAAGATGTAAAATCGTTGTTCTTCCTCCTCCCTTTGTGCACTAGAGTTTTGCGGGGAACCCACAGGTCAAACTCATTCTCTACCGATTCCACTGACGACTCGCTGCCCGTTTCCAAAGTATCATCTGCAACTATTATTTCAGTACGTAAAAGCTTTATAACTGAGGACAACCCTATCGCAATCGTAGATTGCAGAGTCTAATTTGTACACCTATATTTATATATAACTAGAAGAAATTTAAAATGTAATACCGATTGTTCCAACTTACCACCAATTTGCAGTCCACAGTTGCATGCCTTAATTTTAAATGCTGCAACATATTTGATGTGTTATTAGAAAATTTTAAATTTTTGCAGCAAAGTTGACATTTAACATAGTTATGGCTTATTTTATTAAAAAATCTCCGCACTTTGCTTTTAACTGGCGCCATTGCTCTTCAAACAACTGAACGTAAAGTGCGTTTGACTTAGTAAATGCAGTGTTACCAGACATTCATTTTTTGATATTTATTTTTATTTTTTATTTTTTATTTTATAAAAGCTTACATAATAATACAATTATTATACAAACTTAAGAAAATACGCAGCACTAGCATCATGGGCTATCGGCCGACTGGTTATATTATATGCGTCGAAGAAGGTCGCTGTCTTTCA